AATCAACGAAGGATGGATTATGGCGATTGAGTGTGAGTAATGGTAATCATAACCATTTGCCGTGTATTTGAAAGTTTAACTTATGTTTAAATTTGTTTTTGTTTTAATTTTGCATTTTAATGTTTAATTTATGTTTTGGAATATTTAAATTTGCAGCGTTGTGTTTTGCATTTTTATGTTTAACCTATATTTTTGGAATGATTAAATTTGTAAGGTTGTTTGTAAGGTTTAAATGTGTACTTTAATTGCTTCAGTTGTACGTAGTTTCTAAATTCAAATCATAAAACTAGTGAATTAAAATACAAAACAACAAACTAGTAAATTAAATAATTTGTAATAATAATAAACAAAATTAGTAAAATACTTAGTTCCTAATAATAATAAAAATAAATTATTAAATTAAATAGTTCCTAATAATAATAAAAATGCATAGTCCTAATAATAATAAAAATAAACTTTAAAATTAAATAGTTCATAAAAATACATAACTGACAAAAAAAATCGATAAACTACCGCCTCGCTCTCCTCGACGGCTGCACCTCATGATCGTCGTTGTCGTTGTCCTGGTCGATGCCAATATATCGGGCGTGGGCTGCATAATATCTCCAAGGTCGGCACGTAGATCGGCAAACTGATGCATCCAGTCCTGTCCAGTGCTCCTGGTGATCGGGTACAATGCACGTACTATCCGGTAATAAGCCGGCTGATCTGGTGGCCTCACATTCTCTTGATGCAGTGGAGTCGGGCCTACGTCGGGGTTGTTGATCTTCAGATGAGTTCGATCGGTGTACCACTCCATGTAGTGCTCGTCGACTTCCCCCCGTTGCCGTGCCGTCTTGTATACGTTGGCACGAATGGAATGAGCCTGGAGCATGTCCCACATACCACCCGGAAATGGGTATTTGACTTTGTACAATGTACCTCCTTTGGAACCGCGTAAACATGGCTCCATCGATGGAATCAAGCCGCGCGGAATATCCTGAACCCACCCGAACTGTCGGACGCAACGGTCAGGCATATACGGCTCTAAGACCCACATGTACTGGATCGTGCCATGATACAACGTACGAGGGATACTCTCGTGTGTCCCGACCATACGGTAGCCACTCGACCTAAACAGAAAACAATATAAATACATAAATCAAAAAATCATATTTACACAAACTACAAACATAAACCGAAAAATTCATATTTAAACAAACTAAAATTACATAAAATCGAAAAATTTCATATTTAAAAAAAATATAAACACATAAACCGAAAAATTCATATTTAAAAAAAAATATAAATACATAAACATAAATACATAAATATAAAAAACTTACATCTTCCGCTATCATATTGTCGAGTAAACCTCGAATATGGTCGAGCGTGCCCGCTTTTGGTCGCGCGTTCCACCTCTTGCATCGAGGCTGAAACTCGCGGTACCGCTCGCTCTCCTCCGGCGGCTGAAATCTCGGGAAATACTCGTATATCCAGCACTGCAAAATTTTATTTAAAGATATTAGGGAAATAAACAATAGAGAATATATAAATTTAAAA